TATTAGTAAAAATTAAAAAAAATTAATTAATCTACCAATTTGCAATATTTTTAGCTGCAAAAAAAATTGACAATTTGTATAATTTACTATTATTTTAAGAAGCAAAAAATTTAAAAATTCTATTTCTATTAAATGGGAGAAAAAATATTATTTTATCATTATCATTTTGACAATCAATAAATTATGAGTTATTTTGAAATGACCTGTTCAACAACAGCAATATTGCGATGTTCGATACAGGTTGGACAACGATCGTATTTTTGTAGTGCAAGTGAAACATTGAAACATTTCCCTTTCACTTCTACAACAAGTTTTCCATTATTCGAATATTGAATCTTCTTTGGATGTTGAAGATGGCCATTCTATAAAATATTTCTGATTTAAAAATTTAAAGTTGAAAATTTTCAAAATTTTTAGAAATTCCATCAATGATAATAATGATGATAGTAAAAATATTAAAAGTATGATTTGTTGAATTTAAATTTTACAATGTAATTTTTATGAGAACCTGATCATAATCATCAAAAATATGCTTTAAAGGAGTGGTATCGCATATCCTTGGGAAGCCATAGATGGGATCTAAGCCAGCCACTTCACATTTCAAGGCAATGTCGCTAACACTTCGTGATGTCCAATGTGATATGAATGAATGTGATGTTTCCTGCAAAAGAAAAATTTAGAAAATTATTGAAGAGAGGAAAAGGAGAGAAGAAAGAGACAGTGAGAGAGAAAAAGGGAGGGATTTTAGAAATTCGTTATAAAATATATTATTTTGCAAGTGGTTGAAGAGAAATTTTTGCGATGAAAATGGCAATTATTTTTTGCTTAATGAAATTCCTTTCTAAAATTAATTAAAATGATTATCTAAAATTTCGGATCCATTTTTGCGGCAAATCAAGATAGTTAGCAGTGAACATTTGTGTAAAAGTCAAAAGTCATTTTGGTATTTTGCATTCATTTTACGTACAAAAAAGGATCAAAATTTTCAGTATTAAATTAAAAATTTCTGATACAAAAAATGCTATATATGCAAAATATGGGAAAATGGAAGAGAGGCAATTTACGTTCGATTTATTTAACCAAATAAAATTAGGGAAGCTTTGTGAATTATAATTTATATTTCAAAGGCATTTACAAAAAGCTTGAATGCCTTTGGTTGATATTTATAGAACATTAAAGGAAGAAATAAATGTATTTGAAAATCAATGAGTTTATATGAGCTCACATAAATTTAAATTTGTTATACTAATTAGTCAGAAAAAGATTAATTGCATAAAATTCAAGAACTATACAAATTGTGATACTTAGTGGTATCAGAAAATTTGAATTTAATTTTGCCATATTATTGTGGTTATACGTTTATCATGCGTGACTAATTTGATAACAATAACAGAATGGTTTCTTTTGTCCAATCCTTTCATCTTTCAATCGGTCAGCTTTGGTCAATCTAATCATAAACAATGGAAATGTTAGAGCGCGCGTGGACGTCACAACTAGTTTGCCATCTGCCTATCAAAGATGAAATCAATTCAGCATGTAGGGAGTGATAATGGTTATCAATGAAAGAGAGAAATGTGTGACTTCTCGTTTGGCGTCATTCTTGACCTGAGAATGATCTGAGAATTTAATATCCTTTGAAATACATACATATTTAAGTCAAAGATTATTTATTTGCATAACTGGTTCCGAATAATTCTGATGAAAAATTTTAGATGTTATACATTCTAAATGTCATTTTTTCGATAATATTATGATAATATTTTTGGAGAAAAATAGAAATAATCAATTTTATACTTCCTTGAAAATAAATGAATCAGAGTAAAAATTTTCCAGATAATCAGGTTTAATCGAGAAAAGGAATTTTCAGGACTATTTAATTGCAAGTTTGAAAAATTCATAATTTCTATTGAGAATTATTTATTAGTCATTAATTAATTATTTCATAGCAGCTTTTGTTTGTGATACGCTAATTTATACTATGATCTTCTTGTGTTGAGCATTTTGAGCTACTAAAATGATAGCCAAATGATTTAAAATTATTTACTGGCAAACGACATTTATCTACTCGACCATTATTTACCTCAGCTAATTTGAGTGTAACAGGCCAGCTAATTAAATTAGCTTCATCGTTGGCAGTATTCATTTTGGTTACTTGAAATCGTGGTTCCGCACAACCAGCCGTCGTTAGACATCCTTTTCGCCATTCAATATTTAGTATATCCGCAACTAACCAGTAGGAATCCGGGTGATCATCCAGGAAACCTTCTATTGTTGCCGGATGAACCATTCCATCGATCGAAATGATCATCAGAAGTGCTATGTAATAGGAATTCATTTATCAATGCTTTTTGTCTTCATTCATTCTCCGAACAACTTAATCCATCCGTACTTCCATTGTATTTACAGAATATTTCTGAAGATAATTCAGATAGTGCTAAACATAATTGCAAAACAGAAGTTAATAATTAATAACTGCTAATAGATAAAATGAAGTATTCAGTTTCGATCAGTGACAAATTCTGCAAAATTGTAAAACAAATAGATGTACGCATGGATGCCAGAAAGAATTGAGCGAAAAGTAAAATATTCAAACATAACATGAACAAATTAGACATTGAAGTATTTTATTATGAGGGCGTAATTAAAACAAACAAATTTCGGTACTTGAATACTATTCATTAATTAGTACGCTATAGGACACTCTACTAGTAATTCTCAAAAAGCTGTAAATTTGCCGGAAAAAAAAACTGGAGAATTGTGAGTCTCATGAAGTAGTTAATCATAAAATCAAAAATCAATTATAGCTTAATTTGTTGCATGATTGGACTAAGTAAATTTTGGAATGAAATAATTTAAAATTTGGTTAATATTCAAAATAGGGTACGACATTTCTAAAGAATTTACAAATGCTCCAAATAAAAATCTTAATACACATACAAAAAAAATGCAAAGGCATAACATTTCAAATTGATTTTTGCTTACTTTCTCTGAATTTCAATTTGAAAAGTTTGTGGATAATTCAAAGTGATAGAAAACAAATTTTAGAAATTTAGCGAATACTTCTATGATTTAACAAACAAACTTCATCTATTTCATCAAAAAAAACTCTCTGAACAAAAATTAAAAATTAGCCTTCAGTAAGGAAAAGATAAAAAATATCAGTTTTTCGATGAAAACTGTTTATAAATAAATGGGAAGAGTGATTCAAAAATTATTCCCAAAGGATTGATTTTTTCACTTCAAATTGATGAAATTGTGTTGCATTCTAACTAAAATATCTGACATATTTGCAAATTTTCAACAGCTTAAAGGCTAATTTAGCAAGAAGGAAAGAAAGAAATAGCGTCAATAAATCAAATTCCAATTTCATCTCAGAAATTCAAAAGCTTTTTTTTGTCAGCATGTTGCCTATGAATATATCTCTTAAATGAAAGTTAATTACTATTGTGAATGAAAGATATTTTTGTTGAAATAAAATTGAAAAGGCTTAAATCAATCAATTTAACTTCAATCTCTTCTTGCAAGCCTTTTTCTTTTGCAATAATAAAACAATGAATTATTGTTTATTATAAAGTATTAAAGAGAAAGAGAATGTGTTGCTTTTATAAAAGTTTCTTCCTGCAATGAAAAATCGTTTCTAAAATACATAGCAAAATAAAGTTTAATAATTTTAAGTTTAAAATATTATAAAGAATTTTAAAGTGCAAGCTCTTTGCATTGATATTTAAAATAAATATATGCACGGAAATGTAAAATAATAGCTGTGCAATTGAAATGTAATTTTTTAATTGTAAATTTTAATTAATTCAAACTATTTATTGAAATTGAGAGAGAAACAATATTAGAAACTGTGTTTGTAAATGAAGCAGGTTTTACGAATTGTCGATTCGTTTAAAAATTTTATGTGGCAATAAATATATATATGGAGGAGGAATTTAGAGAAATCAGAGCTTCTGGTGATATAATTAAAGTCGACAGAAATCTCAAATTTTGATGTGTGAAATTTAAGACTTGAAAATGTTTTAAGCTAATGCATATTTCAAGTGTTGTAGTAATAATATCCTGACAGGTCATTTTCCAATTCTTTAGAGCGAAAAATTTTCCAGACAAATATGCAAGGAAAAGAAAAATGTCAATGAATTATGATGTTACAATATTTAAAGATTTTATCAATTACTTGTATTTGCATTATTGAAATTCGGAATACATGCCGAGATTTTTCAAAATAAAGAGCGAGCAGAGTTAGATGTTAGGATGTGAAGTGAATGTGAATTGTAATGGACTTTTTGGATTCAAAATCTGGCGAAAAAAGAGCCAATTCCAAGTCTATTGGCATAATAATATCGCTACCATAGCATTGAGTTAAAATATTATTTAGACAAACAAAACGCAGGAAAAAAAGAAATATGCATTGAAATTTAGCAAATATGAAGTTCTCTGTAATAAATAAGCAGAATATTTCACAAATTAAAAACTTAACAATCATTGCTTGTCAAATAAAAAAAATGACTGACCAACGGTCAATATAATCGTTAAAAAAACTCTCCAACAATTATCCATTTAACTTGACAAAAAATTGAGCCTTAACATCAATACCAGCAGTTCAAGAATTAATTTCACAGCTTCATCGAGCATTGTAATGCATCTTTGCCACCTCTTTCAAATAAAAAATGCATTGCTTTAAATAATTTACACTCAAAATTAAAAGACTATAATTTGGCAAAATTTCTTGCAATGATAGGAACAATGATTTGCATATTTAATCTATAAATGATTGAAGATTGAAAGTCATTGACATAATAATTTCAAGGTCATATTAAAAATTGAAATTGTTGGTGGACAGTACCACACCGATTGCATATTTCGCATAGATTGCCACTTCAGCCCCTTTTTTTATTTTTCACTAAATATATCAAAATTTTAAATAGCGATCGTATTACTCCTTATCTCATCTTATCTTACCCTGTGCTACGCTCAGAACTATTTTCGAAGAATTCTTCCTTTCATTTCCATATGAAAAATTTGCGCTGAATTCAACAACTAACAAATGCAAATATTGTGCAATTCCAATTATCATGCGGTAAAAGTTAATGAAGCATAAAATGAAATTTAAATAAATTTCTTTTTTTTCTGTGTCACACAATGACTAAAGATTAGAAAAATGATTTCATGACGAATTTTTATGTCAGAAATCTTTTTATGATTAGTTAGCATTGCAAATGCCTTTTACTTATTTTTCTTGGCCAATTTTACCTCTCTTGGCCAGTGTTAAGAGACCTTTAATCATCCTTAACTTATGTCAATGAATTGTTGAAGTAAAAGTATTGAAACACTATTGGAGGTTAAAGTAATTAGTAGCATTCAGGTAATGTTTGCAGTAATGTGATCTGAGAGGTCAAGTAATATTAGCCACTTCATGATGTCAACACCTTAAATAAACTATAGATATGATTAAACCTTTTGATAAAATCATTTGTCAACATTTTTGTTAAATACTTTTTTTGAAGAACATTTTTTCCTGAAAAATTCTTGTTAAACTTATTTCGTTGTTCCTTTTTTTAACTTTTTCAATATAACGATGAATTGAATGAAATGAGCTGCTTATTTAATACTTATTTAATAACTTTATGGAAAACAAAATGAGATTTAATTGAAGATTACAAGTCATAATTCATACCGCTAACAATATACAATAATATCAATAAATATTGGATAGCAATTAAAGTATATGACTGAAAAAAGGTTTTACTTCGTAATCTAATTTGAAATTTAAATCTATAAAAAGAGAAACAGCAACTATTATATTTCTCTTAAGTCCAGTGTTATCATACGCTAAGAATTTCATCCTTATTGCTGTCGTAAGTGATAAGGATAAAATTCTTGAGATATAATGGATTATCTCGAGAATTAATTGAATTATTGTGTTTCTTCTATTTTGAGATAGATAAGGTCAATTACCTCATCGTTATGATATTCTTCATTAACTGCTTAATACTTGATAAATTTAACAATGGTAATAATAGCACCAAGTAAAACCAAATTTAGTTCATTCGCTCCTCGATTTTGGTGTAAAATTTTGAGTTGACCGTTATTATCTTAAAAGTTATAAAAGACTAAGGCCCTACAAATGAAGCCAATTTTTTCATAACAAGGTAACAACACAAATGAGTAACACAAAGTGGATTTTGCGCATTCATTGTGCATTCACGTATTATATCTTGAGATTTGTGATTTTGATAAACGATTGTAATCACTACTCTGATGGATTACTTTTACACTTTGCGCAATTTGCATCGTGCAATCACTAATCGATCACAAAAACACTGTAATGCATAATAATCTAAAATTTCTGATTGATTTTTATGCATGAAGTAATTAATCATCATACTGCAACAAATGTCCAATTTTGTCATTCAAACATCTGACATTTGAACTATAAACTGTAATAATGAACATTAAAAAATCTTTCTGATTATTTTTAATTTATATTATCTATCAATAGTATTTGCTGTTAAATGAGTAACAAACAATTAGAGGGCAAAAACAATATAAAATTTTTTGTTACAAAGCAATTTTACCTCATACAATTGATTACTTCTACTTAAAGAATTGCTAATTTTTACATGCGTTAAATTTAACATGCCTAATAAATTATCATTCAAAACTTGGCTCATTTTTTCAACTGTAAATCGTTTGTCTAATAGAATGATTCCTTTTTTGTTATTAAACATGAAAATAGCCTTTAAGAGATATGTCAACTGAATATTCTATTAGTTATTCTATCAATCAAAGCACTAAATCACATTTGCTCCGTCAATTTCACTAATACTTAATTTATTTTATCAAACATAAAATTTATTATGAGATGTGCCTGATAATGATTCAAGAATAAATACAACCAGTAACATTTCACTTTTAATTTCATGCTAAATTTTAGAAATGAAGTTTTTAATTTTCATCACTATTATATCACTATTACAACGAACATTATTGTTTATCTTACCATTGTTAATTTTAATTATTATTACAAATTTTCATCAACATAATTACATTCAGTCTTTAACTATGAATTTAGAAGTCTTCTTTCTAGACAAAAGAAGCAAATTTACAATAGCTTCAAAAAAAAAAGAACAAAAGAAACAGATATCACAAATATTCTGTGCTGTTTGCACTCTCCATTCGATATTTTTGAATAGCTTCAAATGTGGATGACCTCAAATTTTAATGTTTATCTCTCTCCGCATTTACTGTCTTTGTTCGTCACTAATTTCTGCATCTATCACTAAT